AATCCGTATCCAATCAGTAAAACAATTTTTTACTTTAAAAACCTGGTTATTGCCGGTCCTTTAACTTCTAGACATTGCACCCTGTTCCATGGTTGAGGTTATTATCATTAGTAATTTCTCGCAATGTTGTACAATTTACAGGAGATTTGGCTTTAAATAGTTTTTTGTCTTTACATACCAAGATGTCTAGATAATATATAGCAAGCATCAAAATTAAAAACACATTAACTGCACTGATAGTTGGTTTAACTAAAACGAACTTCTTAAATAACGGAAAACACTTACAAATAATTGAAACAACAATAAACTAAGCGTGGAATTTATAGCTGCACTAATGTAAATATCAAAAATCTCTGTAACTAAAAAATTAAATCAACAAAACATTTGCTACCAACAAAAGAATAGGAAAGAAATAATGCTATTGCTTAACATCCTCATGCTATTGTAGATGCAACATTTGTACTATCTATGCTATTACATTCGTACTACTTACATGTGACGGTTCATTTGAGTTTATTCATTGACTACGAATGATCTTAAATTTAATGCTTCCTTAAAAAAATTACATACGTTACTGATATGTTTTTAGCACGAGGAAGTTAGTAAGAGGCCTAGCTGATCTTCTAAGGATACTAAATTAGACTTGCTGATTTAGGTAACGATCTTACCGTGGACACTTTAGATAAATATGCAATAAATTTCCGTTTTCATACAAATTGCACATGCTACATACAATGTTATTATTTATTGCATAAGTATTTCCATTTATAAAACATCTCATGTCGATATCTCGTGGAAAATTTCAATTGCACGATTATTCTTTGTTTTCGTTCTCTAATAAAATTTGTCATATAAAAGTCTATCCCTCAGAATAAACAAATAGTCGATAGCGGGAATTATAAGTGGAATTCATTATTCTTTGTATGTCAATTGATATAAAATTATTTGCCCATCGACATATTTTTTTTATACTTTCATTCTTTAATCGTGAAGGGTCATTTGAATCGAGAAAATTATAACCACCATCCTGAGAGCATAATCTATTTGACAAAATATCTTGGGTGTTAGCCTTCTTAGTTTTTTTGAAGTGCTGCACAATAAAATCGTCGTTTTCTTTGATCAAGCTATCCTGGGGCAGTAATAGAATCTTCTTCTACCATACAATGATCCGTTCTAGTGCTATAATAGATTTGAAATTAATTTCAATCCCGATCTAGTGGTTGGGGATAGTTACAGGTAGATAGAAAATGTTTAGAAAAATTTCAGTTCAACTTTGAAGGTTTCCTCGTGATGTCTAATAGCTCAGATTTCTGAGTAGAACAATGATGTAGCTGCGACGACATTCAAAATGCTTTATTTAGCATTTCATGGAGACAGATCCACCCTGAACGAGAATTTCCTTAACTTTTCTTAGGGCTTGTTGCCGAACTGAACACAGGGGACCCAACTACTCGCTGCCATGCTAAGCACAGTTCTCATATCTGGTGTTGTTCCTGCACGCTCTCTATATGGAGCCGAGGAATGGTACACTCCAATTAAATGGGAAATATCTAGCGACCTTCCTCTACTCGGAGACAACTTAAAGGAGTTATCAAATTGTAGCCTATTTCAAAAGGATATTCTGTCAATTTTGAGCTCTATTTAGAACTACCACAACGTATTTGTAAAGAGCCAAAAACCTCGTACGAGATTTTGTAAAGAAAGAAAGTTCATATTCAATAATGAAACGCCGCCCCATTTCGGTAAAAGAAAAATGTGTAGGGGTTGAGGTAGAAAGCAATAATTTTTCTATAAGAAAATGATTCTAGTTTTAGTTGCTAATTTAGTACCGGGGTTTTTGGTCGCCTTGAGAAGGGCCGATGATCGAAGTCCGCTGACTGATGTCGATGAGCCGGATGCTGATGCAGCGGGAATCGGTAAGACTGTAACGAGCAAAGGGACTCGTGCAACACAAAGCCGACTTCGGCTTTGAGAGTGCCAGAGATGATGCTGCGAGTACTTTAGTTTGTGTAGCTAATGCTGATGGCTTGCTCCATTAGACGGGTCCAGACTTCGTCGACGAGTCTGAAATAAGTAGATTGAGCCCGTTGCCTACATACAGAGCTGTTGCAAACTCATTGGTTGCACCGTGGAAGGCGAGACCATTGTTGAAGCAGTGCTAACACCTAAGTGGATAACTTGTTAACATTACAATCAATTTTTTTTTAACTGTAAACAAATTTATAAAATTTGTAAAATGTAAAACAAATAGTTTTACCGGCATTACCCTGTGATCAGCAACCCCGTCTCGTATTATGCAATCGGGCGTTTACCGTACTAACTTCAGACAACCACCTCGTCGGAAACTTCTACTTCTTGAATGAAAAATCTTTCATATCCATTATGTTTTGTGGTCTAATTGACCAAATTATTTCTTTCAGTTAATTATTCTTTTTATGCAAGGGTTGATTGAGATGAAAAAGTTAGTGTCACGAGCGGGATTCGACCCCACGACCTTCGGCTCCGAGTGGATCGAAGTCACGCTGGCTCAAGTGAATAGAGCAGTGGCATATTCAGCCGAAGGTCGTGGGTTCGAATCCCGCTCGTGACACTAGCTTTTTCATCTCAACCAAAACTTTACATAAAAAGAATAATTAATCTTTCATACATTGGAAAAGGTAAAAAATTGAGGATTAGTGCCATCACGAATCGAGACAATTCTCTAATAACTTTCGAGTACCTTGGCTAGATTTCCATGTTTTAAAGTAGTTTATTTTAACCGTTAAACAAACTTTAATTTTAACTCTTGAAACTGTATTTTTTTCTCCCTAAAAATAATCTAAAGCTAAGTTGAGTATTCTAAAATTGCCCTGGTCCAAGTACAGCAATTTTTCACATAGTTGGAAAACCATTAACCGTACTGGCATTGAATGATATTGACCTTCCAATTATCTTTTATTAGAACGTAGTGAAGCCTTTCAATACTTCAAATTGTATAGAATACTGATCGAAGTCCAATATGTGATTCATATGTATACATTTGGTCCATTTTGAGATGTATAGTACAGAATCAACCAAACTTCTAAGAAATTGCCATTATCTATGACTTCGTCTTTTACAGTATTTTCTTCATGTCTATGATTTTACCAATTCCGAAAATAGTCGAGTATGAAGTACGAAAATAGAACTCATTTTGTCACATTTCGCCAGCAGGATCTTTTCAGGGAAGCAAGGCTAAACCAAAAAGTTAGCCTTATTTAGCGGAATCCATCAACGGATATCTAGCAAATCCTCCCAATTTTTTTTAATCTTTTATCCCGCAAATTCTACTTTGTGTCGGCCGCTTTTAGTTTTATTTTTATAATTTCCTAGGTTTATTTTTACACGGAGAAGGCAGTTAAAATTTTCGTAACTGGTTTCGCAATTTTCGTCAAGATGGGAAACACACGTCATTCCGTACACAGATCAAATTTACTAAAAAGCCAATACTCGATATGATGAAAATTTAAAATATAACAAGAAAATCAAAAAATTGTTATTTGGAATAAATAATTCTATATGATGCCTCATTAGGTCAGTACACTGTTCTTCCGCATATTTAAAGGCAGTTAGTTTTATTGTTAGACCCAATGGATAAAGATGCAACTGATAAACTTTAGAAATAAATTAACCAAAAATTATAGCTATATCTGCAGTTTAAAATTGTATTTGAACTTTATTAAAATTATTATTAACTTATATTTTCCATCGGGTATTGATGTTTTGTCACTCTTATTATTATTATTTTTTTTAACGACAGCATAGGTCATATTAACCCTCACCATATTTGAAAAAAGCCCATTTTTCGGGTTCGAATGCAGGGGGGCCGCTGGATTTGAACCGAGTACAGCGATGAGCGCCGTGTCGATGCCTAATTGTTGCGACAACTGACGCTCGCTCATTCTTATTTATTTTAACCAAAGGAAGTGTAGACAAAATAAAAAACATACCCACCACTGAAGAAGGCGAGAAGCCAAAATGTCTCTGAAAGACCAAAACGGCGAGTATGTGCAAACCAAAATGATCAAAAACTGCACAAACTAAGAATTTCACAAGTATAGTCTGAAAGAAATAAAAAAAAGGTCCAAACATTAAAAACGTCATTTTAATTTTGTTGTGGTATTTTTATCGAGTGATCGCCTCCAATCGTACCTGATTTACCATATTTTGCTGGTCACAAGGGTTTTGACTTTCCACCACATTCATTGGTTGGTCTGTTTGTTATTTCAATCATGTCCTTTTATAAGTTTGTAAAAAATGAACATGACTTGTTGACAAAAAATAAATCAATAAAAAATAAAATATAAAACGAGCTATGAATTCCCTTCTTGCCTAGAACCAATCGTCATGTAAGGTGACTATTTAAAGCATAAGTGATCAACACGAACATTTTTCTTGTAGATGTGGAAGCTCCCATTCTCTCCAAATTTGGTTAGTCAGTACTCAGCGAGCTGATCCACTTGGTCATTTTCCCATGAACATTTTCAATTTGTGAAAAACCCATGCATATCGTGTTTGGAACACTATTTGAACAAATACTTAAAGCACACAAGACATTTTTGTGCGGTAACAATAACCAATAACACACAGACCAACCATGGAAGGCAGTTATAAAATGATGACATGAACACAAAGATGGCTTAACTGATTATATAGCTACAGTAAAAACAAATTTATCTGTTAACTATGTGTTTTAATTAATTCGCCAAAATTTAATTTTCTAAACTTTCCATCGACAGTTGTTTGTCGTATTAAATATGATGGATCGTTAATTGTGTTGATCATTAAAAAAGTAAATGACGGAAAAAAGAAATGGGGAGGGACCCAGTAACCTTTGTAGTAGAAGGTAAAGGTTAGTTGCATTCTGAAACCTTTGCCCTTCTGAGGTAACTTTCATGACTAAACCAAATGATTCATCTTTTCTCATAATTTATTCTGAATAAGAATATTACGAGGTGGTAAACTAAAGAAAAAAAATCAAATCAACATAGTAACTTAATTTTTATTTATTTACAAAAAGTATGTAAAATATAGTGCAATGCAAATTAAATAGCAGTTATTCGAACAGCGACAGATTTAAAGATCTGCACCCTTGCTAGCCAGATCTTTGCTGGTAATATTCTTCAATTCTTGAACGCCGTCTTTGCCGACAACTTTGACATGAAAGTTGGGAAGGTTGATTATAAGCCTTTTTTGCACTTCAGCTATACACTTTTCTAATACTCCATAAGCTTCTTCTATTGACATATCTAAAAAAGAAGAAAAAAAATTACCACTGATTTTATAAAATAAATAAATAAATAAAAATAAAACTCACCAGGTCTGCAATATCGATCCAAAATGCTGACGGCCATTAGACCGCCATAGCCGTGCACTCCGTAAGGGACTTCTTGGTATGCCGCCAAGTAATCCATGAAGAAAAGTTGGCCCCCTTCGTCAGGGTCATAGCCCCCTAGCATTAGATTGACTTGATAAGGAGTCTGCAGGGAAAAGAAATCGCATCAAACATTAAACACTGATACATATTTATAAATAAAAAAACAGTGTTTTGATTACCGTTCATAATCCTAATCTACCTAACTCATTGATTTTGTCACTTTGTTTGTCATTTTGTTGATATTTTCTGCATGCTGTTTTGTCAGTCATGTCCAAAATAAAATGTAGAGGGGTGCATTGGGGTTTTTTCTACAGTCGATTGAGTGTGTCAGTAATGGAGTAAATAATATATGTAAATTATTGGTTTTCCGTAGATTTTCCTATGTTAAATATGTTTCTGTAGATGCCTAAATTTTCTATGCTATTCATCACGGAGTAACATTATCTTGTATAAAACATGAAGGTATGTTGCATACTTCAATTGTCAATAATTGTGAATGATTTTATATACTCTTTGTTATATTTTTCTGCCGGTCATGTAGGGCTTAACAGATTAAAAAATAACACACAGACCAACAACTGGAAATAGCAAAATCAGTGAGAATATGCACATTATGATGATCGGATATGATCAAACTGGAGATTAATCATATTGAAACTTTACAATCAAACATGTGTACATCTTTTTCAGATTGGTAGTCATACAACCCAGGAAGTTAGAAGTTATTTTATTTATTTTTAAAGGTTGTATGGTATCAACAGTTTATGTTTTCATTTATCCCCCTGATTGTACGGGTGTAGTAATAATACATTTTATTTTACTGTTAAAACTTATAAAAAGGGCTTAATTTATAAAAATTAACACAGTCCAACCACTGAAACAATCAAAATCAGTGAGATTATGCAAATCATGATAATCAGAGATGATCATATTACAGATTAATGATCTCAATACCCTCACCATACTTTACAACCAAACCATTTTTTTTCCAGATTGATTATCATTATACTATTTTTAAAGATGTACGGTAGAAATATTTTAAAATGTTTTAATTCCCACCCCTGAAGAGTGTAGTAGGCCATAATATATTAAAAGCTTATATTTTTGCAAATCATGATAATCATATCTACAGATTAATCATAACAAAACCCTTGCAATACTTTACAATCAAACCTGTATACTTTTTTTCTACAGATTGATAATCATTATACAACACCAGAAAATGGTAGATATAGTACAAACAGTTCAAAATATAGTTGACTCAATAAATTCAACTCAATTGAAATTTGTGTTTTTCTAAACGAAAATGACAGCCAAATGACAAAAAATTAAAATTCAACTTTAATTTTGAAATTTTTGTTTCCCCACACAAGATTTATTTGACAACAACTTAACATAAGACTTGGACAACTACGAAGACTCCTAGGACCAAAATCCATCTTGACCTTCAAGACTCAACATTATGCAAGTATTTACTGTGACCCTTTGGACATACGAAGTGGAACTGTGGGGTTCTACCAACCCATCTAATATCCAGTGCGTCCAATCCTTCTAATCAAAAGCCTTCAGACAAATTGTAAAAGCTCCTCACTACGCCTGTAACCTATCCACAATGACCTCAAAATCCCTTAAACGAAATGATCCATTCCCAATTCCCTAAGTTTCTCACCAGCCTCTTGATCTGACCTAATTCTACTACTCGAGCCCTCTCCACTCATTCGTATCCCAAGAACCCGCCACGTTACCCGAATTGACAATGTCCTTGAGACCTCCTTGCCCCTTAATCACATTTACAGAGTTGGCTGGCTTCTCATGTGTCTCCCAGGTGCTGGCATTAGTAATGCTGCTGTGACCTGAATGCTGATGTGATAACATACAGTGATCACATTTGTAATATATACAAATCTGTATAGGATACAAATAAATAAGGATATACAATTTTTTTTTTGTTTACAACCCTCTGAACTGGAAAACATGGTGGACCGTTTGTCAAGATTTGCTTTGATTACAGTCAGTTCAATAAGGGAAACAATTGGATCCGGTAGTTAAATTTTGGTTTTGGGACTAAATCTAATAAAAACTGCAAAATATAATTTTTTCTTCTTGGGATAATCTATGGCGGTGGAATGGAAAAATCTTGAGTTAATTCTTGCTTCTCTTTTTGTTGAATCTGGATTGTAAAAACTTCGTAAGTTCAACTTTTTTATTTTTTTACGTAGTCGACTGTTGACACTCAAAATAAAAATGTACTGAGGAGGCAGAAAGAGCCTCGAAATAAATCTACATAAAAAATATAAAAAAAGCTTACGAAGGTGTTGTAATCTAGAGTTAAGTTTAAGGTGGTTCGGTATGATTTTTTTTACCTGACTTCTTAGGTAGTCTGCTAAATTTTGCCTGACGAAATGCGAGGTGGGTTTCGGCTTGAGTTCGTATCCGTTCCTCATTTTGTAAAGCTGCATGTTCTTGACGATGTACTCGGCGAACTGGTGTGCGTCCCCTTCGCCGCCCGTCACGGCCATGATTATCCTATCCGAGACGGGATAGATCTTCTTTTCGTCTAGACGGAAATCCGTGTAAGGACGTAAACAAAGATATATGGAGATATTTTCAACTCACCGGTCTTCATGACCATTATGCTTGTGGTGTTGGACATGTCGGTCGCGAGCATGACGAAATCCCTGCACCTGATTCCGAGTATGGTCTCCATCCTTGAGCGATTTCACACAGTTCGAAACAAAATTTTATCCGGCCGAGTCTACGAGCGTATTGACGATGACTCCGTAAAGTGTTACCTACAATGACCGTATCATGCAGTGACTCGGGAAAATGGCTGATCACTGCCTCTTCGATCGACAGGTTAGCCAACTGACTCCAACTCGTCCCAAATTTTCCTTCCAAATGACGAAAGGGATAAAAGACAATTTTTTTCCCGTAGAATTTTCCACTTTTGTATAGCTTTTCCTATTTAGATTTTAAACAATTTTATATTTAATACTACTTTCAGGTTTATATTTATCAATAGTATAATCAAAGAAAATGTACTAATATTTAATTAAAATAACTGTAACAGTGATAAAATCATTCATACCACATACATTTTTTTTCTTTTTAAGGTTGATTTATTTTGTTTTTAAATTTTTATTTTTTTCATAAAATTGAATGAATTGAAGAATGAAATGCCAAAGAGTGAATTTGATGTACAAATGAATTACTTTAATTTACAAAATAGTGAATTTAATTTACAAAAAAGTGAATTTTGTTTGCAAGTGTAAAGTTGATTTGCAAAAAATGCATTTGATTTGAAAAAGAGTGAATTTAATTTGAAAAAGGAATTTTTATTTGCAAATGAATTACTTTAATTTTTACAAAAAAATAATTTTATTTGCAAAAGTGTGAAGTTGATTTGCAAAAATGCATTCGATTTGAAAAAGAGTGAATTTAACTTGCAAAAAATGTATTTGATTTGAAAAAGGGTGAATTTAATTTGAAAAAGGAAATTTTATTTGCAAATGAATTACTTTAATTTTTACACAAAAAGAATTTTATTTGCAAAAGTGTGAAGTTGATTTGCAAAAATGCATTTGATTTTAAAAAGAGTGAATTTAATTTGCAAATGTGTGAATTTAACTTGCAAAAATGCATTTGATTTGAAAAAGAGTGAATTTAATTTGAAAAAGGAAATTTTTTTGCAAATGAATTACTTTTATTTGCAAAAGAGTGAATTTAATTTACAAAAAAAGAATTTTATTTGCAAAAGTGTGAATTTAATTTATGAAAAAGTGAATTTGATTTGAAAAACGTGCATTTCATCCGTAATAGGGTGAATTTAATTTGTCAAAGGGTGAATTTGATTAGCAAATAAATTAATTTACAGAAGAGTGAATTTGATTTGTCAAAGGGTGACTTTAATTTGCAAACAAGTTAGTTTCATTTGCAAAAAGATAAATTCGATTTTCAAAAATGGAATTTTATTTCCAACAGTGTGAATTTGATTTAGAAAAAGAATGAATTTCATTTTCAAAAGTGCCAATTTGATTAGCAAAATGAATTGTATGTTGCAAAAGATTGAAGTTGATCTGCAGAAAATCATGGAACTTCTATCTCACTAACATACTCATCGTTAACAAGTCGCTTCTGAGACCAATGTAAACATACATAATTGAGGTTTGCGGATTGATGAAAAAATCCAATGAAGCGAAAAATATTTAACTCTCCATTCTACGTTTCAAATCTAACAGTTTCATCCCATTCACTTTTGCAACAGCTTTCTTGTCCTGACATTTCTGGAAATATCACACCTTGTTTGAAATTGGCTATGGCTGAGAGTTCTCTTGAGCGGTTGATGTGAGGGACCTTTGGGGTGATTTCTCTTGTCATGTGTAACTCACTAGTTTCATTGTGTCATTTATCTTGTAGCGGTTTTTAGGTGATATTAACAATACATTTATCTTACAGTTACTAATTTATTAAACATAACCATGGAAAAGATAGTGTGCACACTTACAAAGTTCTATAGGGTACTATATGCGGAAAAATGTCCGGAATGGTTGTCGAGAGTCCTATCGCTAGGCGAAGTAAAAGAATAGTGGTCGTAGCCAGGGAAAACCTTCCTCAGGTTTTTCCTGGTCACGAGTGTTGTCCTGATCGCCTACACACCCCACCTCCAGTGAAGAGGTCAGTCCTCAAAACGAACTGGCATGCAAGTTCTGCATCCGCTGCGAGTCCGTCGAGTGGTGTCATCCGGTGTTGCTGCTGGTATGGTGGGTGCCATTTTGTCTTCAGCACTAGTCAAGTTGGTCTGTAGGTAGGCGGGTTTAAGCCTGTCGACTGTTACTCTCTTCGTAGTGCCTTTAACAAGTATGTCAAAATATTTCTCGCTCTTCTTTCCACCAGGAAGGGTCCTTCATACGGAAGTTGTAGAGGTGGTCGTACAAGGTCAGACCTGATAAATACGTGAGAACATACACGCAATTAATTCATTTTATCGCACCATGGTATACCGGGTTGGTGGGTTTGTATTGTCGAATCTTTTCTTGGAGATCTTTGACAAACCGACAACGGTCTTGTGGGGCAGATTGGTTGAAAAATTCTCCAGGTAGACGTAGTGGAGTTCCATAAACTATCTCTGCGGCTGATGATTGCAAGTCTTCTCACACGGCGGAGCGTAGTCCCAACATTACCAAAAGGGAGAGCTTCAATCCACGATTTATCATTGAGAAGATGGCATGTGAGTGCAGATTTGAGTACCCGGCGCCTCCACCGATTGCCCAAATACACATTCAGTCGAATTTCTAGGATTTCAGGTATCAGCCATTACCAGCAAAGGTAGCAGTCATTAGAGACTTTCCACAGCCTACTACAGTACGGAAATTACAAAGATTCTTGGGCATGGTAAACTTTAACCACAGATTCATACAGAATGCCGCCTCCATCCAGCTCCCTTTGCTAGATGCTATTTCGGGACGCTTTGCAAATAGTGACAAAACTATCGAATGGATACCTGATTTTAGCATTTCAAAAACTAAAAGAAACCCTGGCTCAGGAGGTGCTTTTGGTGCAACCATCCCCAGACACTTTCTGGCCCGTTCATACCGACGCCTCTGATGCCATTTGTTTTTTGCTACTAACCATCGCAATTCTAAAAACCATAATTATAAAAAATACATAAAAATATGGATGGCACATATTATACAATGTGTACAAGCACTGCAGAACACCTGTAGCTAAGTAATAACACAATTAGCTACTCTGTTTATGTGTAGTGCGTGAAGCAGCTTTTTTCTATATACCAAACTCAGAAAACTATAGTATTATTGGTAAATTTCTGACCAAATTATGTATACAAAATACCACAAACATTCAGATTATTTCAATTAATTCTTTTTATCTAAGGTCTGATTGATACGAAAAAGTTGGTGTCACGAGTGGGATTTGAACCCAAGACCTTTGGCTTTCTCAACCAAGACCTTAGATAAAAAGAATAATTAATTTAAATAATTAATATGGTCAATTATGACCATTAAACATATATGGATTAATTCATATTATTAAAACTTGTTAATTTATTATATAGATGAATAAGTTTATGGTTTTGCTTTCAGGAATCATTCTTCGTCAAAATGGTCAATCGTTTTTATATTTAATACTTCTTTTCATCAATCCAACAGTTCCTGTGCCAACAGTCAAGTCTATGTTTGGTAATTACAAGTTTAATTTTATTTTTCAATACATATTAAGTAATCTCATTTTCTTTTTTTATTTTGTTTTGCTACAGGCTGGACTGGATTCTATCAAAAATTTGTTTTGTGTGTAACAATTATAAATATGTTGAGTTCATTTGCATTTCAGTTAGTGTTAATTAGTAATCCACCTTATGGTCACCTTGTTGAACCACCATGTAAGTGCTGTGACTATATGGCTAGATTTGACTGTTTTAAAACAAAACTTTGAATTTTTCAGGTAGTTCAATAGAACGATATTTAAGATATGCAGGTTTAGTCCGTTTAGACAAATTAGACTTTCTGACTTTAACATGTATCCTATCACCAGACATTATAATATTAGCAACGACCCTAATAGTTCACGCTTCCTGTAAATCCTTAAATCCTTGGTTGTTTGAAGAACAACTTTTACCAATATCAGAACCTCACAGTTCTGAACCAGACCAAGCTGCTAAATTAAGAACAATCCATCGTGTTGTATCAATAGGTAAGTTTTTTAATATATATATATTTTTTTAAAACATTTGATAAAGGTATTAATAGTAATAGATTTTTTCTAGGAAAATACATGTGCCTTATGGTCCTATGTTTTGCTGGAATTATACGTCCATGCGTCTTCAATGCGGTTTATTTCATATCATTCCTTGTTATAATGACATTATGGGGATACAACAAACATTTGGGAAAAACGTTCGCTTATTTTTGCAGATGTCTTGTTATATTTATAGCTGGTCACTTATGTCTACTGTTTCTATATCAAATGCAATGGGCTCAAGAACTTCTTCCGAGTGACTCCAGTATACCAAGGTACACAAGAAGCTGTTATTAAATCATTAAAAAAATAGTTATATTGAGAAATATTACATGTTTATATAACATATAATTTTATTTTTTTAGATATCTAGGTCTAATTTCTCTTGTAAAAAAATATTGCTCCGACCCAAGAGTGTATAATCTCGTCTGGCAAGATTGGGATTTCTTTGCTAATCCTTTTATTTTGGTCATTCTTTACTACATTTTATATTATGAAGCTAACTTAATAATCAACAATCCAGTAAGTATTGTAAAGGGAATTGTTTAATTAAAAAAAGTTGATTGTACAATTGATTCAATATTTTATAACAGTTTTACTAAATTTTATCAATTTCTAAAGTATTAAAATGGCTCTAATAACTATGCTGCTGATGGTCATGATGGAATGTTACACTTTTTAAATTTATATTTATATTTTAACAACTGACGATATTAAAAATAGATTTTAGATGAATAATACAAATTGACAGTTTATTTTTTTTTGTAACCACTATTCGTTAATGTAAAACGTTCTAATGTAAAACATTTTACTTATTGAAAATTACTTGTACAATTGACAATGAGGCTAGTTAATATAAGGATGATAAGATAATTGATTAATGAATTAAATTAATTATTTATTATTAATTATTATAAATTAATTAAAATTAAGCACTTTTGGTGGCTTGTTTGAAACTTAATCATAATAACAACTATGCATAGCCATATCACTAATTTAATTCACAGTTTTAATAATTTTATTAGCACATTACTTTTTTTAATTGTATTATTTTTAATTTATTGTTATTGCATAGTGGGGATGGATTAAAGCACAGATCATAATTTTCGTCATTTTCTACCTAATAAAACAACTTACGTGTTTGTAACTTCTACTTTACTAATTAAAATACATATAACAAACTTTTGGCAGGAGATTAACATCAATTTTAAGCTTTTGCATGTACGTTTTATGAGGGTCATAAAGTAAAGAGATGTATTGTTAATTAATATTAGTCAACATAAATTTATTTTCATTAAAATTTATTAATTAATTAATATTTATCAGATGATAAAAGTAAAACTTAGATTTTCCATTGGGCTTCCAGGATGACAATTTGAAAGAGGCGGGCATGACACGACAGCTCAGTACCCGACTCTCTCAAAAAGGAAAACTCCTTCGTAACCAAACAAACCGTTGGCGTTCAGCCACTCGTAAAGTCAGGGTAACCAACCCAAAAAATTCTTGCACAGTTAGGAAATACATTATGTTAAAAAAACACCCATTTTTTGTAACAGTTATGTACAGTTGATGTAAATAATTGTTAAATAACGAGACGCTGAAAAGCCAAAGAAAAGATAAATAAATTACTCTGCTGTAATATACAGGCTACGATATTTATGCATGTGGTAAACTTGCATGTGCATTAAAAATCATAGTGTGGTTTACCAAAATTGAAAAACATTGACTTTCAAAAAAATTTGTTGGCTGGATGCTAAGCGTTTTGTTTTCTTCTTATGTTCTGTTCTAGGACCCTTCTACATCTTTGGACGAAGCATCTGCACCAATGGCGTTAACTGAAACAACGCCTGTAGGTGACTTTTTTGCCAAATTAACTTTCTGGTCATTTTCAGTTCAATTGATATATAAGAATATAAATACATGTATTTACTTTCCAGTTATAATTAATCTGGAAATTTATTTGAAATTTTATTCGTTCACTTATTAAATTATGAATTTGTTTTAAAAGCTACAGATTTATTCTTACGACTGTTTCTTCTTGAGAACTGTTCATTTTTTGTAATTATAATATTGTCAAATTAAAAATAAATTAATATTCATTATAAAAATATAAATTTGTAGGAAATACAATACAAGAATATGATTAATAAATAAATAAAAAGAAAATCTAATATTTTCAAATAATAGTAGGGGAGATAGTTCTCAAAAATTACTAGATTTTAGTCAAATTTTAATACATTTTTATAATTTTTTAAAAATAATTACTGATTAATATTCAATATTCATATGATAATCAAATGTTGACTGTTGAATTTTTATTATATGCTTTTATTGCGGTGGGTCTTTCTATGTTATAATAATAGTATATAATGTAAAATTATTATTGTAGTACTTTAGATCATTTCTTTTAAATGAATGCAATTGTAAATCAAGGATGTTCAATTTGCTAAAACATTATTTAATCTATTTTAGGTGATTGGATTTATTAACCCAGCTATTCACTTCATATAGAACATTAAATTTAATATTATTAAATAATTTTACTTAATTAAAACGTACATATGTATAATTGTCATGAAATGCAATGTACTGTTGATGAATAATTTCTTTTAAATGCAATACATTTTCAATTATATTACTTTATTATATTGATTTAATTGAAGTACTGTTAAGAAAGTAATGCTGTTTTATTCAATTTAGTTGACTTCAAAAGAAGTATATTGGATACCCTGTTTGAACCCAGTTAAGAATATCATTCATAAAAAAATTTATGGCACAGCATATTTTTATTTATTTATTTATTTGTTTTTGTTTGTTTATAAATACAACGCTTTTGATGTTGATTATCTTGATAGTTTGTTAATTTCTTTCAATTTATGCATGGTTTCTCTGTTGACACTGTTGCTTTATCTTGTAATTGCTTTTCTTTTCTAATCGAACACAAATTTGCTTTTGATGTTAGCTTTTCTTTTAGCTTATTCTAGCTTTTCTTTATATGTAAACATAAATGTACATAGATAAAAAGTATATCAGCTATCCCTTTATTTTATTTGATATAACATTGTTTTTGTTATTTTACATAGTTGATCAGAGGGAGGGAGTCAGTATTAAGAAAACACGGTAGAAAAGGAGTGATCGACACGTTGGGAAATGTTACAATAACCGAAGTCCCTGAGCCTTCTGAAGAAAAAATGCAGGATGAAGGTAACAAGATTAAATGTATACCAATTTTATTTTCATTTTTTTAATTTTTTTATTTATTTTTTATTTTTTTAATTTATATTACTGTTTTCTACTTAATTTTGCCTCATTTTTCCTTTCAATTTTATTTTATTTTCTAGACCCCATTTTAACAAAACCATTTACATAATCATTACAGAAAAGTTACACAAAGGAGCCGGAGAAATCATCGAACTGAAACAGTTTCGGAAAGCTCGTCTTAAGAAAAGAAAAAAAGGTGCCTCTTGTTAGAAAAAATTGCGAATATTATAGTACAAGATGTTTTTTATAAGAATACTTTTAATCATAGCTTTGTTGTTTTAAATATTGAAACTGAGCCTAGCTTAAAGAATTCTTATTGCATAATAATTAATTGCCCATTCTCTAGCTCAATTTAGCTTTGGTGTGCCATAAGTGAAAGATGAATATTTATTTTTAAAATGTAATGATAAAATCTATCCACTAACAGGGGTATTATTAACAATGTACATTTCACTCTTTTTACTTGTTCTATTAAAATACTTTCCTGGTTAACTAAATACTTCCTGGTAAATTTATTTTAAATTCTTTTTATTACCTTACTACTACACAAATACAATTAAGATTAAGATTAGAGTAGGGTTGGCCTCTTTACGATCTACGGACTGTAACCAGTATTGATCTTTTGTACATCGCCATTGTCGTCTAGAGCTCCCCAGCTTAAGACTTTTTACCAGATCCCCAAAGCTTCCTTCAGGCTTGGGCTTTTCCTCTCCCAGGAATAGAAATGCCAGCCTATATAAGCCTCCACACATACAGAGGATATGTTCCCCTGTCTCTTTTTCTTCTTAGTTATCTGCACGGGCTTGTTTCTGCCACTCCAAGTCTTTACATATGCCACCTCCCGAGTCTGTAGTGTCCAGTTAGTAGTAGAACTATTATTTTTAGTCTTAACATGTCCTAGATTCTACCATTTAGTTACGGTCTCTTCTTGATTCAACAAGATGGGCCCTACTCTGAACCCTCTTTATTAGGAACAGAGCCCCAGAGATCTTGTTCGAACCTGAACACAAATCGATCAGGTGCCTTTTTATAATAAAATTTAATTCAAGTTTTAAAACTTTATTAATTACACAAGAAAATTAACAATTAAAATAAATTTCCTTTTTAAATTTTAAAACAAACAATTAAAACTTTTGAATTTAGATAAACAGTAATTTCATGCAAACTGTTTGCCAGACCATTTAGAACAAGGGTGGACTAACTATTTACAGTCAATCCGCTGTGAGCTGAAGCACTCTTTTTTTTAGTGATTCCAACACTTTTTAAACTTTTCAGAATCTCACACTTCTTCCTGTCTCTTATCTACACGGAATGGACTTCACTTCTAGACTGACTGTTTCTGCCCTAATCGTGGAGTTCCTCTTTTATTTTCACTCTATGACTAATCATGAGATCTAAATCATAACATTTTAACCATGTTTTGCTGTTATTTTCTGCGATGGTCCTTTGATTAACTTTTTTTGCATGCCTACGTCCTGTGCTACATTCCCGTTGAATGGAGGGCTTATTTTTAATCCATCGTCTGATTGCCTGATGGATCCATGTTTTTGGCAAGTTGTTATGCCACAAAAGGGTTCAGGGCCATAGGTGTTCTCATCAAACTTTCCTTGGCCTCTTCTTTGTCCCTCTGCCCTGTTTGCCCAGGCACCCAGGGGTAATTTTGTTGTTTTCACCAATGTCTGACAATGCCCGAACGCAATCCTTAACAACTTTGGACTTAACTATCAATACGGTAATTGTCCTCAGGGCTCTCCAAATAGATGGCTATTCTTCCGTTAACGATACCTAGCCTTTTATACTCCTTGGCACAGTGTTCACTAGCCTCAATCTCCACGCGAAAGACAGCATAATGTTGCTATGATGTCCTTGGATTAGTTCTGTAAATAGTAGCTCTTGACCCATACTCAGTGTTGGGAGTCATCTATATACCAGAACCCAGCATTAACTGGGATCCCTTACTCCCAGACTGCTCTTCCAGGTATTTTTATTTGAAATTTTTTGCCAAATTTGAATTTAGGGGTCACAGCATCAAAAGACATCCCCTTTTGAACCATGTCTGCCTGAAGTCTCATTGCACCACTGATGCTCATTTGTGACTATGAGTATAGTAACAATACAAATTACATGATAAAGTAAATTTTAGTTTAGAAAAATATTAAAAATCTGCTAACAAATTTTCTCCTACATCGAACAGTATCACTATCATAAATAAATTTCTACATTCATTTTGATAAAAATCTATTATTTTATGGTCTTATATTATTATTATTATAACCGACCTTTATTACTACTGTATTATAGAATTAATATAAAAAAAAAAGTTGAAATTACAACTTTCACACTTCAGGACCTTTACTAACAAAAAATACTAAAACCCTACTAACACATTTTCTTCTACCTTGTACAGTAGCACTATCATAAATACATTTCTATTTTTATTTTATAAACTTCATAGTATTTTTATTATTATAACCAACCTTTATTACTACTGTATTATAGTTTTATCCTTGTAGAAATAATTATTGACTAAATTGTATATTCATAATATTAGTTCTAACAAAATTAATTGGCAGAAAAATTTACAGTAATGTTTATTAAATAATTAATTATTAAAATTGTAGTTTGATCATTCTGATCTGTCTATTTGAGCTGGTTTTATCAGTCCGATGGGTTCAGCATTTCACTATGTTCCAACCATACAATTGTGACAAACAAAACAAGCAAGAACAGTCAGTCAGGGCTCAAAATCGATGATCATGACACATTTCTAAACCCAATATTTCATAATTATAATGCCCACAACAAGTAGCTTGAATATTTGGAAGTGCAATAATAAAAATGATCATGAATTTTTTTTTAAATTTTGAATGACACTAGCTTTATATCTAGTGGAAATGCTAAAAAAGTCTCGTTTATATTTTTTATATATTCTTTTGTTTCAATAGTTTATGGTAGTTTCCAAACATGCTGTTAGTTTTTATAAAGCAAAATACTTTTTTTGCCAGTATGCAGAATGATTTTTTTATACTTTAATTATCAATTATATAAACATTTTATCATATCATTTTTTCATCAGTTTTTAAATAATTTTAATAACATTTAATTCCATGTTTAGATACTGTGAGCATATGCGAGGCTATTTTAAATGTGATTTTGTCTGCTCTTCAACTCATCGCCAAGTCTTCCTACCTCGCTGCAAACATTAGCATGATGGTACGAGACACGATCATGTATCTAGATTATAATTGCAATGCTTAAAAACAAACTTTTCCAGGCATGGAGTATTACTTACCACAGTTGGCTCACTTTTATCCTCCTATTATGGGCAAGCATACTGTGGCTTGTGCCAAACCAGCGTAAAGCAATGTACAAGTCGTCTCCATTTTTAGTCCTGTACGCTTTAGGCTTGCTAATAGCTCAATATATTTACGGTATGAATTTGACTGAAAGTGAACTACCTCAAACCGTCAGTGGACTTAATCTAAAACAGATTGGCTTTGAAAAAGTTGCTCATTATCCAATCAAACCGTTAACAATTAAGGTATGACTTTTAGGTTTTTTAAACAATCAGATTAACAGTTATAATTTTTTTAAATTTAGATACTGTACACTCTTTTGTTCTGGATCACTTTAAGACAACACAACCAACAAAAATGGGAAGCAAGAAACAAAACAGCTATGGCTGATATTGCATCTCCATTTCATCTTGGTCTCGGACCAGCAGGTGCTTTTTAACTTTCACTTTTCCATTGTTTTCATATTAAAAAACAATTTTTTTTCTTGTATTATGTACTTACATCTAATTATTATAAATAGACATTAATATTTTTACTGAATTCATTGTGTTTGAAAATAACATTTAATATGTTACTTACTTATGTATAAGATATTTATTTGCTTAAATTAATAACAAATTTGTTTTTCTAATATTTAGTTAATGTTTATCTGAAACTACAATAAAAATATAAGTGAGCTGGCATGGTGATACATAATTGAGTTGAATGCACGCTGTACCCAGTTTCAGAAGGCACAATATAATAAAACTTACTCAATGAAATTTCCTTCTATGGTCTTTTGGGCTGAACTTTGGATTTGATCCTTACTGATCGTCTTGATCTGCCTAACCTCACTGGGTTGGTCTGTCAGATGCAAAATGCTTCTACAGAAATCCAGTGAGGATAGGTAGACCAAAATAGTAAGAATCAAATCCCAAAGCTTATTCCATCCCAAACTTTATTTAAACATTTTAATTAAATAATTTGCTTTTAATATTTTTTTTGTATTCTCTTATATAAATCATTTACTCTTTGGCTGTCAAATTTTATAGTTGTGTCATGCCCAAGTTTTGAATTCTTCAGTCTTTATATTTCATCCAGTTACAATTGTTTAGCAATGCCGTCTGGAGCAACTTCCAAAACGAGTGCCTTTGTTGATAAATTTGGATCAATTTGTCGAGGGATCTTAACAAAGTTTTGGATTTGGGTCGTCGCTTGTATACTTTTTGCCATCGGCATCGCTGGAGAAAGAATAACAATAATACGAATCGTTTATATGTCAATGGCATTGCTGTTCATCCTTACATTCCAGGTATGATTTCAAAATCTTTTAAAAGTTTTTTACCCAATTTTTATTTTATTTTATTAATTTTTTTAGCTCAACTGGAGCATGTGGAGAAATATGATGTACAGCTTCTGGCTCGTGCTTATCATCTACTCGATGATCATCTTAGTCGTAACTTACACATATCAATTTGACAACTTCGACAAATATTGGGAAGAATATCTTAAGGTGCCTGTTCGGCTGTAAGTTTTTTTTATTTCTATTATTTTTCTAATTACCTCGGTTCTATTTAAATTGTATCGAATTTCAGCCAAAAGGATATAGGATTGGAAAGATTCGATACAAAAGAACTGTTTGTGAAACTTCTCACTCCAACTTTATTCGTCATTATAACTGTGCTCCAAGTTCATTATTTTCATAATGATTTTTTAGAAATATCAGATATAAAAAGCAGGTGAAGTTATTTTGACTAACTTCTGATGTTATTTAAGTGATTATTAATATGTAATTATTTGAATCAATTAAAATTTAAAATTTTGTCATAAACATTTGTGTATAATTAAATATTTATATCTTTATTAGAGGGACTAGCATAGGCCGCAAACCTTCTGGTGGTCCTTTTGACATAGTGCCTCTGCGTCAAGATGGCGATAAAAGGAAAACCATGCTCAAACCTAGTAAACTATCATAGTTTTTTTGTTTTTTCAAGAACATTTTTGAAATATCTAACATGATTTCAGGTTTCTTAAGAAGATGCAGCAAAATTGTCAACTTTATATGGTTATTTTTGGAATTGCATCTTTTAAAGCTGGTCTTGATTTCAATCATGCTTCTTGCTGCTAATGACGTGAGTTTTTTAATATTTTAAACTTCAAAGATTTTTCTCTTCGCCAATACAAATCTGGTCTTTTTTTCTACATATATTTAGGTATGTGCAGTGCATTTGTCATTAGTAATATTAATAGTAATAGGAGTACTCCTCAACACGTCGATGCAGATTATGATCACTCATATTTGTTCATCGATTGTCTCTGCACTTATTATTTTGAAAATGGTTTATCAGATAAACTATATAAGTCATTCAGAATGGGATGTTCATTGTGACGAGGTATTTTATTTATTATTCACTATGTCAATTACTGATAATAATTTGAAATTTTGTATAATTAAACAATAAATAGTAAACTTTTAACAAGTAAAAATAAATAAAAGTATTAATTTCATGGAGATTATAAAGATATAGTTAATAATCTATCTATGCAATTTTTTAAGGTGAATACAACAAGAAATTCGGCAGAGTGGGTAGGATTTAGAAAAGCTGCAAAGGGTGAAACTTTACCCTTTCTTCTTAAAGGATATATCGGTAAAATGTCAACTGGCTTTAACATAGTGCGAATCGAAATGTCTATTTGTTTTGTTTCTATTCCAGGTGTGCTTATAATAATAACAGTCCATGCTGTCGTTCTGCGAAGGCAAAAATTCCACAGGCATTTACAAGGGAGACAGCTTTTCCGACCGTTGGTCATGTTCCCGAAAATTACCCATTCGGACGTTGACAAAGACGTGCCACACTTTATTAAATATATGATGAATTATGGTTTCTACCGGTTTGGTGTTGAGGTAGATGCATATAAACAGAATTTAATCAATTTTAACTATATGATTTTCTTCTTATTATTTATTTATTTTGTTTTAGCTTTCACTCATTTCGATCGTAACTTTAATTGGTGTAAGAATGGATTTCTACGCTGTACTTTACAGTCTTATTTTATGTTTCCTCATCACACCAAATAGAAAGAAACTTTCAAAACTTTGGCCTTTTTTGACATTGTTTATTGTTGTAACAATACCGTTGCAATATTCTTTAGCAGTAGGGGTGCCTCCTGTATTCTGTATAGGTAAGATCTTTTTATACTGATTACTTATTTATATAAACTCAAATTTGCATACACACAGACAAGTTGAGCACACTTGTCGCCGTCCACCACTAATTACGGGTTTTGTAATTTACAGTAAATATTATCTGTCCAGCCACCGAGGTTGGGCTCTCAACAGCTAGTTCATTTCAGCCCCAACACAATCACTCTACAGATCAAACCCTTTCACACATTTCTTAAATACATTATTTTGCATTTACATACCATTCACTCAATTACGGTGGTGGAGTACTCGTTATTCCTCCTTTACACATATTACGATAACTAACCTAATTGACGGTCCATGGGGTACTCAATATTCCACCATTTGCCCTCTCACACTACACATTCCCCACCAATAAATACATTCACTATTAACATTCATTAGGGGTCACAAGATTAATACTGTATTCAATAAAACGATCCTGTTTCTTCCAAGAATCAAAACATGGACCCAGATACTCATTGTCGTGCTTAATTTTCATATCGGGTGGCATTTCTACACTCTCTCTATATGAAGCCAAGGAATTGCACCCTTCATTAAGGTGATTGAGCAACCTTTCTCTATCTGCTGGGCACAAATGCAGGTTTTGGCCAAAAATTAAGTGTAAAAATTGTGTGTCTAACCCCACACGGCCTATTCTTCTATATCGATATATTTATACATTCATTACTTTATTACATTTTATTGTTGTATACATATTATTAACTATTATGTTTTTCTTAGAATATCCATGGAACCAATCTGATACATTACAAAGGATGAAAGAATGGATGTTTTTTCCTGACCACGATGACCCTCCAGAAGCCTATAAACTTATCTGTATGTATTTCTACGAAAATAACTCAATTATGTCTACAATTTGTGTTTTTATTTTTTATTTTTTTTAATAGGTGATTTCTTGGTTTTGATGTTTGTGAGCAGGCAAGCGTTAGTTTTCAATATTGAAAAACGTCATAGACATGATACTTATATTGGAGGAAGTAACAAGCCTGTTCTTCATGCATTCGACGAGAAGGATTTTGTAAACCCTGTACCTGATTTCTTCTCTGTCACAAAGTAAATAAGATTTTGTGTTTAAAAACAAATATATCCTACATGCTTTCAATGATTAAATAATTTGTAAAAACAATTTCCAGATCAGTATTAGACGTTTTAAAACGGATTCTGTTTGCTGCTTCTTTCTGGATTTGTTTGGCCCTTGTTTTTCTGGCAGGAACAAACCGAGTCAACATATTTTCTCTAGGCTATCTCATAGGGGCTTTCATATTCTTATGGCAAGGAAATGACCTGTATTTAAGACCAATTAAGACAATTTTGGTGTGGTAAGTTGTTTAATTTAAAAAAAATAATAATAAAATAAAATAAATACCTAATTGTGTTTCTTTTTAGGTGGAACTCTTTATTAGCCTACAATGTAGGGATAATATTTGCCAAGGCTCTTTTCCAAATTATAGGTTGTATTTTTATAACGACCATGAAGACACAAGCTTGCTGGATGATACAACTGTTTGGTATAGCTTGCATTCAGAAATTTGAGTCAGGAGGAGGAGGGATATTGCCATCTACAAGTAAAATTTAAACATTTGCTTAGACAATATTACAAATAGCGATAATTTAAAATTGAAATGTTTAGCCTTTGAACCGACTGAATGTGTGGTACCGCGGACGGAGGTCGGTCTGGCATGGGACGGGTGTTGTTTTGCCATGTTGCTGCTTCAGCGTCGCCTTTTCTCGAGTCATTATTTTATGAGGATGATAGACGAGGCTAAAGCTATGGCGATACTCGCATCTCGGTAATGTCTTTGGTCTTGTTCAAGGCGAAGCAATTTTGAATTTAAATTTTCATAGAGGTGCGGAACTAATAGAAGATCTAAGCAACAAGCAAGTCGAGTTCCAGAGGGAATCGGAGAAACAATTGTTGGAGAAGATCAAGGGTAAAATGGACCGAATTAAAGCGTCGCAAAAGAAACTCCATGGCCCTAATTATCAAGAACCGGAAAATCATCACAAAGGTATGTCTTATATTTTTTGCACTATTTTTCACACGTGATAAGATTGTTTTCTCTGAAATAAAGTAGATTCTAACTAAATTTGTCTTTCAGAATAGAAGAAGTTCATTTTTTCAAATAATTTTTACTTGTGTAAATGAAATTTTATTTGAATTTTACATTTAATTAATTACTATAGATTAGTCATAAGTAAAAAAGATTTGAACGATAATAAATATTGATAGCATAAATTAACACGGTTACAAAAGAAATATATGTATTAAATTTAGAAAACAATCAAAATAAACATAGAAATGACAGTTCTAAAAAATGAAGACAAAATATCTTTAAAAAATTTAATTCCAGATTCTACAAAAGTTTCTTTTAAAAATTAGGCCAGCATCATTTTTTGTGGTGGTGTATCTTAATAAATTCTAATACATATACAGATTATTTATGCTTGGGGGGGGGGTAAGATGTTTTATACGAATATAATTTCTGCCAAGTTTTTTGGTAACAAAAGCTTCAATTAAATCAGATGCCCCCAAATTTTGCTATTTTGTTTTATTGAAGCTATTTATTTTTAACAAATTGAAAGCATGAAGGATGAAATTGGACCTTTTTGGTCTTGAAATTGGACAACCAAAAAATTTGATATTGGAGAGAAGTTAACTAATCTTTATTGCTTACTGTATGGGGACAAAAAGAAAATATATTATCCATTTTACATAGTAAAGGAAAGAAAATATTTTCCCTTGATGCTTTCTCGGAAGTATTATTTGCCAAATATTGTGTAAATAGAGGAAACTGCACCGTTGGCGAGGGATTCAACTCCTAGCATTTCATCCCCGACATCACCCCAGGGTTTTCACACTCCTGTCGAGGAAGAAGTACCACGGATGCCCGGGCTTCTCCAGGCTCCGTCACCGACCTCTGCCATCCTTAGCCGGAGCCTAGAATGTTATTTAGAGCCCCAAAGGATGTCGTTTGGCTCTCCTCCTGCGTCCGAGCTTCACCGAGCCCCTTCGTTAGATGATTCGTTTCCTGTGTTTTCTCCCCCTCCTTATGGTATGGTGGTCGGCCACGGGGGCAGTTTCAGGCCGAAGCGGGGCTCCAGTTTCATCGGGACGCCCTGGCTCCACACTCCCAGACAGTCGATCAACTCAAATGTCTCACCAAAATCACACCACACGTGTACTGTAACAAACCAGAAAAAAATCAATAAACCCACTTGCTTCGCTTCGGCACACATTTATTGTCTGCCTATTGATTTCAAACTATTAATGTGATAATTAGCAAAAATTATTTCAGCAAAATGACACTGATTTTTCCTTGTTTGACAGTTAAATAAATTATCTAACAATAAGATTATTAATTCTAGGATCTAATTATCACATTATTTTCTGTATAATACATTACAGCCAAAAAAAATTCTGTAAATAACATCTAAGCATTTAATATAAGTTTAGTTTATTGCATAAACAATGCATATTAGAATTAATTATATGCTTATTTTTTCAATTGTTTTATTAAATTACATTATTATTATTTTTTTTTTTACTTCTCAAAGGAATAGCCTACATTTTTCTAAATAAATATATTTACTTATAATTAAAACTCAAATTATAAAGTAAATTCTTTGTATTGTATAGTGTTTGATGACAAGGACGAGGATTGGTTTAAAAATTATTATCATCACGACAACTGTAATGGTAAAGTAAAGTCAAAATTCAGATCATACAAAGGGGGAAATAATTAAGCTAATAACGATGTAAATAGCCATAATTGCACAATGTGTGTCAGGCACAATTAGAACTAGAAAATAATCAAATAGAAACAATTTCAATATACAAAAGAGACAAATGCTCAACATGATCTTTGAAATATTGAAATAAGCTCTATTTATATAAATAGTTAAAACAATTGTAATATAAAAATGTCAATTGAATTGTTATAATTCAATGCATGCAGTGTGGCTTTCACTTTGTATGTAATAATAATATGGGAGATTTATGGGCCAGCAAACAACTGATGTCATTGCCGACCCTCTGCATTTTTTTTTTTAAACTATTTGAGCGCCTTGATCTGGCCTTTCTCTGATAGATGTAACAATTTTAGGAATTGTAAATAACTGAGTCCATCCAATATTTTATGGTCTCAGTTGTCTTTTATTGCCCAACTAATAAAAAAAATAAAATAAATCCATTATATTTAGAGGTATATTGACCAAATTACTTCTTTCAATTAATTAATCTTTTTACATAAAGTTTTGGTTGAAATGAAGAAAGCCAAAGGTCGTGGGTTTGAATCACGCTCGTGACACTAACTTTTTCATTTCAACAAGACCTTATGTAAAAAGATTAATTAATAAAAATGAAGTAGTAATAACTCTATGAATTTTTTAAATTTATTTTGAAGAAGGGCAACACATGATGGTTCAAACAATTTTAGTTATGCTTTTTTATTCTTATTTGTATTTATTTATTTTTTAAATTGCATCTAGGCAGTTTCTTTCGACAGTCTGGATTGTATGTCTGGTTTTTTTGCTAATACTTCTGTGTATGACATTTTGTTTTGTTTCTGTATGTATAATGTATAAAAAAACAAAGCACCATGTACATACATACATGTAAAGATGTCTCAATTCAGAAAATGCTTACACATTAGAGCATGATTTTTGGGATGTTCCATGATATTTTTTACTTAAAAAAAATCATTAATAGCTAGTTAACAACAGGCGATTATCAAGCACTGAGTTTTTAAACTTCATAGCATTCATACTTCATAAATTGTAGGAGAAAGGGATAGGGAAAAGAGAGGCGGCCACAAGGCCTACTGCACCTCGACCTGAATAAATCTTTTGTGCTCCCCTGTTATTTTGTAACTCACTGGCCAGCTTCAGGTTCATTAATTATAACAGATAATTATGTTTTCTTTGTTTAAAACTAGATAAACAATGCTAATTTGTTAAGTAACAAAATTGGGGAATAAAAAGCTGTCTACAGACTGAATTTATAATATATCTCTTTTCATAATCAATTTTTGTACATATATGCAATATTAAAAACAGATTTTGAGTTAGGTGTTTATTATATTTTAAAATATATTTTTTATGAGTGTAATTAAGTTATTAGCTCTATGTATATTTAGAGTGATTTATTTTTAAAATTTGTTGGATTAAAAAAATTAACTTGGATCATCTTATATTTTAATTTTTTATGGGTCAAAAACCCATTTCTTAAAAAAACTTGTACAAAAGTAAGGAGAAAAATATGTACAATATAGTGCTTATAACTAATTTAACATTAATAAAGAATAAAAAGGGGCCGCAACGGTTTAGGCGTTGACACGGCACTCATCACTGTAAGGTAAAGGTCCCGGGTTCTAATCCAGCGGCCCTGCATTCAAACTCGACATACTTACAAATGGTTTTTTTTTCAAAAACACTGGCACCCTGAGGGTTGATATAACCTCTGCTGTTGCAAACCCTCGTAAAAAAACAAAAAAAAACCACTATGCTATACATCAATGAAAAAGGCAATAAAATCCATATAAATAAAACAACTTAAAGATTTAATAAAACACCCTGTCTATAATTATAACAACTAGAAATTATATTAAAAAATATATAAAAATAATGTAATAAAGCATTATAACTACATATATAGTACATTTTTAGTTTTATTTTACTAAATAAAGTTATTATGCTTTAATAACTGACATTTCAATAAGGAAACAGAAGTATTAAATAAATCAACAGTATTGCATATGTTGTTACATTCTATCATCATACGATGCTTCGGGGAGTATAGTGAAAAATTCGGTCCTTTATATTCAATAAAAATATCTTCTGATTTTCGAGGTGGGAAGGAGGTATATAAAATTGGAGTTTACCAAGGGTTTTCTTTGGAATCTAAACAATCATTAATTAATTTGATAATAAAAATAATGTCAAAATACTTTCTTCTGCAGCAAAGATCAGAAATATTGAAGTAAGATTTAATGGGAGCATGAGATGATTTATCCTTGTGACAGTTTAATTTGAAATATAATGTATGAAGGAATTTATTTTGAACAATTTGAAGAAGTTTTATATCAGTGTATTAGTGCAGATTCCATATGATTGAGGCATATTCAAGAATATGTCGAACAAGTGAATTATATAGAGGGGCATAGCGAGAAGGATTTTTGAACTGATAGGTACTTCGGATGCAGAAGCCAACCATTTTAAAGGAGCAATTTTTTTTGTCTGTCTATTATTGTTTGTTTTATTTATCAGTGTCTGAAAAAGGACACAACTGACCAAATAACACAGACAAACCACCGAAGAAGGTGAAACACCCAAAGGTACAGGCGTAATCTGAGAGAATAGTCCAGGCTGATCGGGGATGATCAAAACACAGTTCACATTGCAGGTCTTGCTAATGTTCCCCAAAATATTACAAATATAAAAGTTAATTGATCAGTTTTGTACCAAGATTGTATAATTGTTTTAAATAAATTTCACAAAAGTTAGTGTGGTCTTAAAATGTATTTGAAAAGTATGTTCAAAGTATTGCATCATAATATTTATTATTAATACCTTTTATTTAAAACAAAACTAATATATATATTTTGTACAGTTGTTAATAATTTATTTTTGTACAGTGGCTCATGTATAAAGAAGCTTTAAATGTTTTGAATGCTTTTATAGATATGCGTTGAACAATTAAAATTAAATAGATGCTATTTTATTTCAGCAATAAGATCCGGAGACTATTTCATGTTTGATGACTATGATGAGGATCTAGATCTCATTTCTGAGTTGAGCGTCGCATCGTTCACAACGACGTTGAGCGATGAAAACGTTGATTTAAAACGAACGAGTGTAACTCAGGTGATTTTGACGCTTTTGTTTAACGATTTTGTACCGATTTGTGTTTACAGATCATTTGAAATTGATTTAAAACTAATAATTGAAATTTGGCCAGCTCATTGTTTGTAATATAAAAATTTAAAGGTAATTCTGAGTCGACTATTCCGTGCATGTTGGGGGACGAATTATGACACTTTTTTTGGGAGCAAAGCTATGAAAGCTTGTCAGATGGGAAGATGGCTATAATCTGTACTGCCTGTAAAAATAACGCTTTTAAAAACTTTAAAATATTTGTTGTATTTTAATTTTGGGCCTTCAACCTGGGCAAACTTGTAAACTAAAACTCATCTTCAGTAATTTTATAAATAAATAATCAGACTTAAAATCCAATGCTAAAGTCTAATATGAATGCAGTACAGCCCAGCACTATTTCTTAAAAATATAAAAAGATGTAAGATATTTTATTTTTTGTCTTTTCCATAATTCTTTATCAAACTCAGTAATGATGAAATAAACTTGATAACCTTTAATTTGTAATTTTGGCTCAGAATTGTCTTATTGATATTTAAATAAACGTGCTGTAATTGATTTTCTCTTAACTCAGAAAAAATATGTTTATACAAGTTAATGCATAAATTAACCATTAAAATTCAATTATTTGTTTATTTAATTGTAAATTTAAACATTTTTAGTTAAAAGAAATGTTTTCATCAGACTTAATACTTCTATAATGGCTACACCGTTTGTTTAATATTTCATTATGAATCATACATGCTTTTAATGTTGTTCAGAGTAAAAAAAGAAAAAAAAGAAACCTACAGAAACATACAGAAATTACTAACACCCGTAGTTTATATTTAACGGGATTTTCATCATACAGCTCTAAAAAAATTTGAACTTAAACGAATACACAATCGAACTGTACTTTTACTGTACCGCAAGTCAGTGAATCTGTTCATTTCGATTGTTGCATTGAAAATTCAATGCGTTTTCATTGGATCGATAGCGTTTGAAAACATTTTAATATATAAGTAAATAATATTTTTTCGCATGGAATATTGCATGTTTGGGTGTTGTTTGTGTGTGGCAGCTAATTACGACAGCCTTGAAGACTGACGTGAAGACAGCAATTAATGAAGCTGCTGCGACAAATTTGAAGCCAAGAGAAGAATATGTTGATGTAGACGATGTAAGTTGCATGTAAAAAGGCAAACTATTCTAGGAATTATTGTAGAAGACTAATAAAAATTTATTAGATTATTATTTAATAACAAAAAACTTTTAACTTGACTAAATTCAATATATTTCCGACCAAATGTTTAATGTTAATAACTATTGGTTTCTTACTATTAACATATTACATTGCTTTTTTTTTCTTTTAAAGGAAAATGTTGACACTTCAGGACAAGTAGATCCACCATGTGGTGAAGTAGGTCAATTTATTTGTGCTTGATACACTTGCTTTTTAGTAAAATTTTGTTTGCTTGCTGCAAAAAATTGCTTCTTCAAACTAATGTATAGCAGCTTTAAAGCACAAATAGTTTGTCCTTGTTAATTTTACAGAATATCTCTAGCAGCTTTACATCAATATTATTGATCATTTCTAGATAATGCTTATAAAATTTGAAAAAAAAAATTATAGCTCAATCATAAATCTTATATTATTATTTTTTCCAATATGTCTTCTTTCGTTTATCTTCATTCATCTATCTGCATGAACTTAGTCCCAATCAACTATATCCTTTTCGCTCCTAAGAAAAGTGATTTGTTTTTTCATGGTGAAGTAGTTGATATTTGTCAAATATCCTTGTGAAATTGTTAAACTTTTTGCTTGACGTCTGTTTTAATTTTTTACAAACCAAAACATAGAATGTATAAAATATTAAATATATATTTTCTAATTTATCTAGGAAGGCAAACCAGGGCCGAGTGGAATGTTCAAAAGGAAGAAAAAAATGAGGTGATTAATTTTGACAGATTTTGTTGTTGATTTATTCTGTTTTCATGTCATATATTTTGTTTTTAGCATAGTAAAATCGTCTAGCTTTGGATCAGACGGCCTACTAGATGAAAATATGTCAAGACGCAGACTATGGTAAGAATATACGATAATTTAAAATAGTTAATAATTTTTAAGTTAAAAGGTTTTAAGAACGTTGTTTATAAAAATAAGCATTTTACTACAAAACAATATTTCTCAAATCTGTGAAATTATCATATATATTGTTTATTAAATAATACCACTTGGATAATTTTAAAGAAAAATATTTGAAACATAAAAAGAGACAGATTATTATTTTATTACTATCGTTTTGTATTTATTATAAGAATTTCTTGCAGTTCTGCCATAGTATGATCATTTAAAATACATGATTTTGAACAACTTAGATAAGTATTTTTTCAAGATAGCACAATGGCATTGACTTAATTTAAACATTTGCTTGTACATATTCTCAATTGTTAAGTTCATTTTTCGTATGACAGATTTTTATCTTATATCTTGTCAGATTGTCAAAGCGGGCAAAAAATAAATAAATATGTATACAAATTGTACTATAATGCAAATATTTTAGCGATGAGAATGAATCGGACACCCAGGTTGTTTCTGACCGTACTGAGATAACGTCAGCAGGTGATGAGGGTGACGAGCAGGATCATGTAGATAAAATGCATAGCGATAAGGGTGACGATGAGGATCGTATTGATAAAGCCCATAGTGATAAGGATCATGATGAGGACACTGACAAAGGAGGGCTTTTTGGGTATGAACGATCAAAAGATCATGACTTGGAACTGATTGAGTTGCATGCATTTTTGAAAATTTGTTGCATGTTCGTACTTCATAATTGAAAGTCTTAAAAGTGTATAAAACGCTTAATTCTGGGGATAGTTGAAAATCATTCTTAAGATGTAGGTATATGTTTAAAATTTAACTTTGTTATAGTAATGTTTTAAAAGTCACTGTTATTTAGCTTTATTTTGTCGAATGATTTCTCACGTTGTGCATGTCTAAAATTTGGATGGAATGTATGGTGATGGGCAAAAAAAGTTGCCTTCCTTTTTAAAAACAAATACTTAGAATGATCCAGATTGATTTTTTAATGAAAAATATAGAACTTGAAGCAAGACAAATTGTATTTAAAAAAAAAAAGTGATTACTACAGAAACAACAATTTCAAACAATTCATTGCATTTCCTCCCCTTGCAATAATGGCAAAATATTCCTTCAGCTTTCTCATTTTCTCTGGATATTCCAGATATCCCAAAATATTGGGAGAAAATCCATTGATAACAAATTTTCTTCAATAAATCGTACAAAAGATTCAAGTTTTCCACCAACCCATGCTGCAACATGCCAGATTTTGGTAAAAAAACCCTCTTCTAATTAATAGTCTATTCCAGTGTTCCAGGACAATATCATTAAGTTCTTCTTCAGACCCTTTATAGCAATCCAAAATGCCCAAACAAAATAGCTGGGGACAATATTTGACCTCAAATTGCTGCCTTCATCTAATTGCTGTTTTCTGGCCGAATATAACCAAAATTTTCTATTTGTCCGAAGTTTTTCTTAGATTTTCTTGATCATAAGCCAACATCAGACTGTCTTAAGAACCGTGGTTGTTATTCTAATATAATAAAACAGGATGAAACATGATGGTGCTACAAATCATACTTTTTTTAGGATGTTGAGCCTTTTGGCCACCTGTGCTCTTCAATAAAAGTATAATCGTAACTTAATATGTGGAATTTTTAACCATAATGGCCCAACCTGACAAAATTAAGTAATAGATATTTTATTTATTATTTGTCCAAAAAAAAAGTTTTGACAGTTGAAGAGTGCTGGGGAAAACATCTGTCCACTTTTTGTACATAAAGAGCTTGAGGTGTCAGGTAGCAGTCAGGGAGTACTACACAGTAGTCGAATTTACAAAATGGCAAAGTAACTAGAGTTTTTGTAAAGTATCAAAAACTCATCAATACTAAACATTCCTAGGCACCTTTAAAAGAAGGGCTTGATTTTGGTCTCCCTTTCATACCAAGCCAATAAAATAATGGCATTTTAAAATGTGAACCCTCATAAGGTTTTCTGTATATATTAATTTGTGGGGCATGTAACAACGATCTCAATTTTTTTATGAAAAAAATATATTAAAATCAAGAAATAAATACAGAAAGGCATACCGGTGTTAAAAATTGTACCTGAGACCCAAATGGGTCGATTTGCAAGAACCTACAAATTTTCTTGAAAAATCTGAGGCTAAAGATTTCTATGAGAGATAATCCACCGATTGACGCCTGATCCCGGGGAAAAGTTTCTAAGTTTCAATTTAATTCACTACTTTCGTGGTCTGCTTGACCAATTAATACATGACAATTAATTAAGGTTTTTTTCATCTCAACTAAAAACCTTAATTAATTTTCAATTTAATATTGTAAAAAATTTGAATTTTTTTTTTTAATTCTATCAAAAGCCTATGTTAATTGTACTACGTTCTAATAACAAAATTGATTGAACAAATATTTGATTTTTACCTAATTTTTCCATGAAATTAAAATCATAACGAATTGGTACACTTTGAATTTGATTTTTTTGAACTTCAATTTGTGTAGACAGGCCATCCTTCCAGTGCCCTTCAAATTTAAGTGTTGACTTGTGATATTTCTTTATGAACCTCTGATTTGGTTATCAATTATTTGGTCTACTTGCACTGGGCTGGTGTGTTGGTGTGCTTCGACATTTCACCTGTTCGTGAACCGCCTGTTCCCAAGCCAATTATATAAATTTGACTTGTGCCGAAGGCCAGAAAAAAATCATCTTCAGGTTTGACCAGCAAGTTTGTTTATTTCTGTTCAGTTTGTCTCCACTTTTTTAAAACTGCATCAAAAGCCATCTAATACATAAGTAAAAAATTGAGAGTTGGCACTTTTTTAACTCCTCCGGGTAAATAACACTGCAATCCAACTTCCAATGGTTTCGGAATTAGATTTAAAAAAAAAAAAAATCATCCTGCATCGAAAAAAAGGCAGGTTTGCCGACAAATTTCAGCTACAACATCAAATATTTATGAAATGATACAATTTATTATTATATTAATTATTAAGTACAACCATTTGTTTTGTAACTGTGTAATCACAAAATTCCTTAATTTACTATTGAAATATAAAAAAATAGATAACACTTTTGGATAAATTGATTCCTGTTTGCATGCATTGTCATCTTAAAAAACTTGGTGAAAAATTTTTGTACTTTAACTGGCTGTGTTAACGTTAATTTTATTTGGAAAAATTAATACGAATAAATAAAATAAAATTTAGTTGTTGCATGACATCTATGATTTTGCTTTGGTGTATTTTTATGTATTATATTGCATGAAATAGTGTTTCGAGAGTTAATTATTTTTGTACAAGTACTAAACATTGAATTAATCACACTTTTTAATTATTTTTTTCTTTTACAGGAGTCGTCACTCTGTAGAAGGTAACTTATTTTTTTCTTTACTACATTCTTTACTATTTTATTTTATCTAAAAAAAAAAAAAAATCTATTTTTGTCATATTCTAGCTAGACCATCAAGGAAAATATGTTCAAATATTTTACGGTATATCGAGACCATACTCAGCTCTATAATGGTAACGTTTACAAGATTCTTAAACCGGACATCAAGGGATTATCGTTATATAATGAAAACGCTTTCGGTTGAAAAAAAAATTCTCTTGGTGAGTTAAATATATACAAAAAAGTTATGCATATATTTTTTAAATTTATTATTAATGTCTTAGATGACACACAATTTTGGGACTGGGATGAGAACAGGTCCTGGACAAGTTTGGAAGCCTGGCCCTTACATACCTGCAACGTAAGTTGTAATAATTTAATAATTATTACTACGTAAGGTCTTGGTTGAGATGAAAAAGTTAGTGCCACGAGCGGGATTCGAACCCACAACCTTTGTCTAGCTGCAGGGCACTGGGGAAGAATGTCCTGTCGAGTCAAACCGAATTTCAAAAAAATCAAATTCAATGTGTACCAACTCGTTACAATTTTAATTTCAAGGAAAAATTATGTAAAAATCATTATTTGTTCAGTCAATTATGTTTATTAGAATAGTAGTACAATTAACATAGGTTTTTGATAGAATTTAAAAAAAGTATTAAATTGAAATTAGTCCTTTTCCCCTGGATCAGGTGTCAGTAGGTAGATTATCTGTCTAGCCAAGGGTCATGGGTTCGAATCCCGCTTGTGACACTAACTTTTTCATCTCAACCAAGACCTTACATAAAAAGAATAATTAATTGAAATAATATGGTCAATTAGACCACTAAACATAAGTTGATTAATTATTACTATATTCTGAGTTTATTTACAAATTTTTTTTTTTTGTTGCAAAAAAACCTTTTGAACAATTAGGTTAAATTCATTACAATATTAAATATTATTTTGACAAAAGATAAATATAACAATAATTGTATTAGAGTTAGATAATTTCATATTTGCTACAGGTTTTTAATTAATTTATTTTTATGTAGTTTTTAATTTGGAATTTCTGTATCTAAAGTCTTTAGATTTATAATTTGTTACAATTGTAAATATCTATGCAGTTTTTGTAAATATTACAGTGTTAAGGATAAAAAAGCAGACCTTGAGGTCCAAACTGACCTAGAAGATATTACATATGTCGATGAAACAGACAGGTTTGTCGCATGGTTTCTATCAAAGAACATCTTTGACATTTCTTCGTTATACATTTCTCATCAAAAAATAACTTGCATGTTATTGCATCAAGAGAAGTGGTGTTAGTATTTATCAAAGTCGAAATAACTTTTAGATTTGAAGTTTGCTCATTTTTAAACATTTGGTTGGTAAACAATCTTTTATCGCGCATTCATGTATTGTTGGATTTCATCGAATCGAGTCTTGGGTTTCATCTTTAAAATCACAAACTTACAAATTTTGCACAGCTTTTTTAATTATTTAAGAAAAAAATCTCATTGAACTAGATTTAAGTTTAATTGTATTTAGGATGGAGCTTATTAGTAGTCCCATTGACTTCAATGATCTACCTAATTGCAGGGAAGATTCAGACATAGGAGGAAAACATACTTTACTAACAATGTGAGTGGTCATCATTGACATTTTGTCGTCTCTGTGTATTTCACAGCAGTTTCAATCACTTTTCTCTTTCTGTGCTGCTTTTGTCCTTTAACACTCGCACTGCTGTCGGTAAAAAAAGAAAATGGACCAACTGTCTGTTGTGTTTTTACCCCCCCCCCCACATTTTTAAATAAACTTTTTCAAGTGTGCTAAAATGTTATTTACATTATATATTTTTGTTTTATGAATTTTTACATATATAGGTGTCATAAAATTTTGTACATTACTCCTAACTATAATACAATTAATTAAGGTTTTTAGTTGAGATAAAAATGTCAATGGCACGAGCAGGAGTCGTACCCACGATCTTCGGCTAGATACGCCACTGTTCTACCACTTGAGCTATCGTGACCTCGATCCACTCGGACACTAACTTCCCATCTCAACCCCACCTTTTGAATTTTCCCTCCTTTTTGCCATTTTTCAAGTGGTAGAGCAGCGGTGTATCTACCCGAAGATCATGGGTTCGAATCCCGCTCGTGCCATTGACTTTTTTATCTCAACTAAAAACCTTAATTAATTGTAATATATTAATTGGTCAAGCGGACCACGAAATAAGTGAACCTAACTATAATGTTACGAATCTCCTACACACCTTATGCATTGTCATTTTTTGGTCTCCACTGAATGTTTACCACATAAAAATCAATTTTACCACAATCAACCAATTTTCTACCTGAGTGAGTAAAGTGACTGATATTAACAACTGTACAAAAAAAAAAAAAATTGGACTGGAAAAAAATACAATTGGTGGGTCTGAATAGACCCTGGCATCTTTTTTTTCTATAAGGTGAGAACAATTATATTTTAGTTCAAAATGTATGAAGAAAATTACTTTACATTCAGAAAAGTCCTAATTGAGGAATACATTGGAGGGTAGATAAAATAAATTATGTTTGTCTAATAAAATAAACAGCAGTGCGAGGGTCAATCTTTAAACTTGTCATAATAGGATAAACGAACTTGTACTCAACTTACTACAGTGTGCAAATCATTGGAAAGTATATTACATTAACCAATGTATTTTAAATTCATTTCACCTATTTTAGTCATAAAAACCTACTTGATATTTCTCTTTCCGCTTTTACTGGATGTTTACTCTGATAACTTTTTAAGCAAAGCTTGGATTCAGTATGCAATTTGAAAGAATGGAATACCCTTGATTCTCTCTGCATGGTCTGTACCAACAAGTACAAACTTAATAATACATTAAATATTTATTGCATGTAAATTTTATAACCAAATTTCAATTATATTTGACATATAAATCTATTCAGTCTGGAATGTTTTGGAATTCAATTTCAGCATATGTAGACTTTTTCTCATAATAGTACTGTGGAAGTTTGGAATTTATAAAAAAAGGTGTCGACTGTTTATACCATTTATAGATTGTCAAATTGAATAATACATTAAATTTATCTGGATTGTATTTTGAATTTTTCATGAATTTATAAATTCATGGTTGAAAAAGAATATCGTTTGTTTGAGTCAATAGCACCGGGAGATGAAGGCTCTGACACATCTTTTCATCTCAATTTTTAATTGTTCATAATATACATAATAAACCATTTACCTTAAAAAAAAGTGGAAATATTGTTAATCTAAATACTAATAAACATTATTTTATGATACAATTAATTAAGGTTTTTTAGTTGAGATAAAAAAGTCAATGACACGACCGGGATTGAACCCACGATCTTTGGCTAAATACGCCGCTGCTGTACCACTTGAGCTATGTGACTTCGATCCGCTCAGACACCAGTCGAAGTCACAATAGCTCAAGTGGTAGAGCAGCGGCGTATTTAGCCGAAGGTTGTGGGTTCGAATTCCGCTCGTGCCATTGACTTTTTTATCTCAACTAAAAAACCTTAATTAATTGTAATATATTAATTGGTCAAGCGGACCACAAAATTAGTGAATTATTTTATGAATTATTTTCCTTATAACCTAATAATAAATTTAATGTATTAATTACATTTTGTGTAGCCTTGATGATGGTGATTTAAAAACTAGTTTGATGCAGCTTAGTAATAAAACAATTTGCTTAACCATCATTTTTTTATTTTTACTAATACAATGTTTATTATTTTTATCAAAACAATTCTTAAATGAAAATAATGGATTTTATCAGTTACAGTCAACTTAACATGTCAGTGGCGCAGTTTGAAGAAGAAGGGGAATTGAAGGCAAAAGATCAGTCGCCGTTTATAAGATTAATTCTGGCCATGTGGTTCGCTCTTTTGTCACATTCAGAGTTGAGCTGTTACATTATTATATTTCTACATCAAATTTACACACCTACTGTTCTTACGATACCTTTGCCTTTGATGGTGTTTTGCTGGGGGACTCTGACAGTGCCACGACCGTCCAAGACCTTTTGGGTCACAATTATCGCATACACAGAGGTTGTATTTAGTATATTCTTTAACAATAATTATTTTTGCATTTTTTAATCGATGTATTTAGGTGGTTGTTGTGATAAAGTGCATATTCCAATTTGAATTTCTTTATTGGAACAAAAAGGCGAGCCATGCGGCTTTTGATGTTTCAAAAATAATTGGAATCGAAAAAAAACCTGGCACTTACGCCAATTTCGATCTGATGGTCCTACTTGTCGTATTCTTCCACAGGTCTCTATTAATTTAACTTTTTGTTTTGAATTGACGACTTAATCGGCACATTTTGTAGGACAATGCTTAAACAGCTTGGTCTCTGGAGGTTCACGGATCCGACAAGAAAGTCTGAGCCGAACGTCTCTGCCACATTGAACATTGAGGAAAAAGAGGAGAATGACAAACATATGTTGGCTATCGAAAAAATTATTAAAAAGAGAGAACCATCGTCTTCATCCTCATCTTCGTCCACATCAACTTCATCAAGTGGTGGAAGGTAAATTTTCTTAAATGCATTAATTCTTAATGCTACCATGACAAAGAAATATAAACTAATTCATTTTTGTAGTCCTATTAGATTCAGGAAAAAGAAATCAGTTAAATTGAAAACTGATTTTGACACAGTTAGTCACATGAGTGAAGAGGATGATAAAAAGTATGTAATTCAATTAAATTTAAAAAAAAAAAAAAAAAAAAATAGATCACTGATGTAAATATTTTTTATATTTAGGAAAAGTACAAGGAAAGGACCTTGTTATGAATTCTTCAAGAAACTTTTAGACAGCAAAGGACGAGTCACAACAGACGTTTATGCCTATATGTTCTTTTTTGATTTTATAAATTTTCTTATTGTTATATTTGGTTTTTCTTCATTCGGAGTGAGTCAAGTACTGATGTAACATTTTATTTTTGAATTTGCTGTTGCATTTTTCATTTGAAAATTTAAAAAAAAATATATATATATATTTCTATCTAAATGAAAAGTGTATAACACAACTGGCAGACTAAACACTGGTCTGACTCTGGTTTGTATTGATTTTTTGTTTCTTTTAAATTTCAGTCTAGTCAAGGAGATGGTGGTGTCTCCCAATACTTTGCTGAAAACAAAGTCCCAGTAGCATTTCTTATAATGCTTATATTGCAGTTCAGTCTTATTATAATTGATCGAACGCTTTATCTAAGAAAATACATTCTTGGTAAAATAGTGTACCAATACATTATTATATTTGGGATACATGTTTGGATGTTTGCTATTTTGCCCTACGTCACTCAAAGGTACGACAATTATTATAAAGAGAAACTTGTCTTTAATGAAAACATATTTGTAGACCGTTCAACTCAACAACTCCCCCGATGTTGTGGTATATGTGTAAATGTTTTTACCTGTTACTGTCAGCATATCAAATCCGTTGCGGTTACCCAACAAGAATTTTCGGAAACTTTTTGTGCAAATCGTATAATTATATAAATTATATTTTATTTAAAATGTAAGTAGTAGAAGAACGTAGGAAAGTTGAAATTTTATCTTGATGTCGGATTTCTTTTTTCCCTCAAGATTTATGACAATTCCTTTCGTGTTTGAATTGAGAACATTGATGGATTGGATTTGGACAGACACTTCCATGACTTTGTCAGATTGGTTGAAAATGGAAGATATATTTGCTCATGTATTCCAGATTAAGGTATGTTAATTAAACTTACATTAAATAAGTTCTATAAATTTTGCGTTTTAATTTCCAGTGCCAAAGGAGAGCTGAATCAGATTATCCACAACCAAGGGGAGAAAAAAAGATCAATTCGACCAAATACCTAATCGGAGGAGGATGCTTGGTAGCTATAATTGCAGTCATTTGGTTTCCTCTAGTTTTGTTTGCTCTCGGAAACACTGTCGGGAAGCCAAATTTACCATCTGAAGTTACAATATCAATAAAAATTGGAGCATTCTCACCCATATATCAAATCACAGCTCGAAATGATTCTATATTTTCGTAAATAACTTGTCAAATTTGACCTTTTTCTGTGATTTTATATTTAAAAAAAATCTCTTTTATTTATAGTTTCACTGAAGATCAGTGGACTTCCTTCAGTAATATTTATTGGAAATCAAGATCTGCTGAGACATTTTTGTCTAATTACATTTTCGACGATGTGGGGGTGGTGATATTTAGTCCGCACTCAACTGTTGTGTGGTCAATATCACCACCCGATAATGCTACTATGCTGTCTGATTTGGAATCAAGTAAATACTAAATTTATATTATTTTACACACTTGTCACATACACTGTAATTGTAATAAAAACACTAATTTTTATAGATAAAACAATAAACATTCGTTTGGATTGGACAATAACTAGATCAATAAGCCAGCAGGATCAACCTGGAACTCTTCACGGTTCAAAAGAGTCTGGACTAGTGAAAGACGATCCTGCTAGATCAGCTCTAGCCAAATTTTTGAAAAGGGAAAAAAACACAGATGCTGCAGGATTGCCATATATTTTCCCAAAATTTTTAAAAGTAACAAACAGGGGGTTAACAAATGCAGTAAGACCCCTAGTAAGATTCGGTGAGTATGTGGCCAGATGAAACAAAACCGATTTTATTTTTATTGTAAATTTTTTAAACGTTTTAGACGATGAGTTGGCCAAGTTTGATAATGCAAGCCCTTTTAGAACGATAGAAGTCACGATGAAAGACATGAACAATTCAGTTTGGTGGGAAGTCGAGGAGAATTTTACAGATCCGCTCGCTCCATTTTTGAAGAAGCTGCCACGTTTTGAAAGGGACAAATTGGTTCTTTATACTTTCAACGATAAGGCTTTCCCCGCTACATTAACTATTGTCTCTGGCAAAGGGTTTGTAAAAAAATAGTTTAAGCTTTAGTTTTTAAAAAGGTTGAAATTCAAGTTCGCTTAGTATTTTTAACAAAATACTTCTTCCCTGCATGAACCCTTCCTAGAATTCCTTAGTTTTGATCTGCATGACGCATCCATTCCTATATTTTTGCAAGGTAATTACCAATTCCTTTCTTTTTATCATCTTTTTGCTTTTTTAAATTATTTTAATATGAATATTGTTCATGCTATTTGTTGATAATGTTTCAGCATTATTGGTTTGTACACAACATTTGTAATTGTCGTACATTCCATCATAAGAGGTTTCTTTACTGGCATATCATTCAAGATTATGTTCGATGACATGCCTAATGTAGACCGCATTTTACAGGTTATTTCCTAATATTATTTATTATTAATTATGCATGTTTTACCTTGATATTGATGTTCAATTATTTATAAAAACAGACATGCCTTGACATCTACTTGGTCCGTGAAAGCAGGGAGCTTGACCTGGAGGAGGACCTGTTTGCCAAACTTGTATTTTTGTACCGATCACCAGAAACGTTAATAAAGTGGACCAGGCCGATTGAAGAAGCTGGCGATGATGACGGAGATATTCCGCCAGCTGAATTAAATGAATAAGCTATTTGATATTTTCTTAGTGCTTTGTGAAAAAATAAAAATCCAAATCTGCTATTACTACTCTAATAAGTCTTTCTATTGGAAGCCATGATGTATACTTCTTTCTTAATTCATCAACATATCATTTATTAATGTTTCATGATGAAACGATGAAAAATTAAATATATATGCATTGATTTTTATAATCAAATTACACATTAAGTGAAATGTTTTATGAAAATTTTCTTTTTATTATTTTTATTCATTATTTCGGCTAAAAAAAAAAAAGCAAACAGAAATTCATGCCAAGTGTAATTTTAGCCACATTTGTAAAAATGTAATAGTTAAAATGTTATCGACATAGTCACTAAGAAAACTGATGGTCATTTTTTGGGTTGTACTTTGCACAATGTCTTAAGAAATAAACAATGTAAATAAAAAAAACTTTTGTATCAATTATCAATCTTGTAAAGTTTTTAAATAATAATATTATTAATATAACGTAAATTAAGTAATATTTTCCTTGTTGAAACATGATTTGAAATTTAAGAATTTTAAAATTCAGTTCGATTCAAATTGTGTATGCTACTTGTTTCTTATTTACATCACTTTCTGTTATTTTGTATAAATGTGAGCTAAAAATGCTCTAAAGGGTAAAATGTACCTCATAATTAATATATGTTGTTTGGTTTTAATAACGGTTTATTATTTTTAGTGTTAATCCTCACTTTTTTTGATAGAATATATATCCTATACAATTTATTTTATTAAATCCATTATATTTCGTGGTCCGATTGACCAAATAACTTCTTTCAATTAATCAATCTTTTTATGTAATGTATTGGTTGGAATGAAGCCGAAGGTCGTGGATTCGAATCCCGCTCGAGACACTAACTTTTTCATTTCAACCAAAACCTTACATAAAAAGATTTATTTTATCAATGATGTTTATATTTTGGATTAAAATTTACTACACTACTTTCAGAAGGTTAATTCTATCCAATTTTTATTTTCAGTAAAAATTAATAATGTTTTATCACTATTGTCTATTATGTTCTTTTACGTTCCTTCATAACCAATGAATAATGAATTCTCTATTCGAATAAATTTTCTACATGTAATAATGTTTAGTGCATGTCGAAGGGTGGACTCTTTTTATCATTTTGATCCCTCAGGTCTCAGTTCAACTGCAAGCTCTAATTAAACATTTTAATTTTATTTTAAATTTATTTATGTTGAAATTTAGTTGAACATTAAATAGCCCGATGAAAAAATTCAAACCATGCCTTATTTTCAGACTTTTAGGTCTTTTGTTCGCCGTGATAGTCGCCATCCATCGAGTACTCAGAGTAATAACAGGAAAATATTCCCAAAGGATAATTTATAATGATTGGCCTACGGTCTGGTACGTCGATAAGGTAAGCTATAGAATAAATATCCGATATACATTTCAATACTTTTTATTTATCGATTTTAAATTGTTGTAGTTAGTGAAGTTCGTATATATTGCAAGAGCTTTCAAAGATTATGAGACGGAAGAAGACGTATTTACTAGGATAATATTTCTATACAGATCTCCCGAGACAATGGTTAAAGTCACTAGATTTCTTCCTGACGCTGTTGCTAGGGCACATACAAGAACTATACTTTAGGTATTGTGAAAATCCTGTTATCAACTATAAACTTTGATTTATCGATCAAATTTTTTTATACCCTTCAAAGATTTGAAAAAAAATCAAAAATTTAAAATAATACCAAAATATTTGAGCTGTTTTAAATAAATATATAATATTGCTATGTTTAGAACAAAAATAAAAGGCATTATTATTATTTGTTCTAAAATGAATAATAAAGACACAACATAAAGCGATTAATTGAAAAAATATTATAGGACATTGCTGCTCTACTGAAGATTGGAAATTAAACCACTATCAAGAAAAAACAAGTAATTACAAAACCCTCTAAAACAAACTAAATATAATTATCCTTTTAATGATATATAAGAAAATATAAAAATATATTTTATTTATATTCATACCTGTTTCATTCCATTGCTATTTGTTAAATAAAAATAATAAATTAATTAAAAAATAAAGAAAGAAAGAAAGCAAAAAGGTACGTATAAACACTTAGAATTATATCACAATAGGGTAAATAAAGACCAAAGATAGAATATGTGAAGTATGAAAACGTTATGGCTAAATATGTACACTGCTCCATAAAAAAAAATGGTGCACTTTGAAATTTTGACATTTTTTTAAAAGTACTTGCCTTTTCAATAGTATTAACACCAATGTCCTTTTCGACAGCCTCCTACAACTATTAACAGAAAGAGGTAACAAGTTCATAGGTTTTGTAGACGACCTGGTTGTTGTAATCGAAGGGCAAACGAGAAAAGCAATAATCAACAAGACGCAGGCAGATGTCGAGTTAATTGTCAAATGGTGTGAGCTTGTGAAGCTAAAGGTAGCCCTCGAAAAGTGCTAAACCCTAATGCTCAAAGGGAAAATGGGTACCCCCCCATACATCCAGATAGAGGGAAAACGAGTGAANGAAGATAGTTGGGAGGTATTTTTATCCCATTTATTTGAAATCCCTTAGATATACAATTTCGATTAAGCTAAAGCGTTTGTCCGCCGGTATGGGGTCTTCCTCAGGTACGGTGGGGTGGTGGAAAGGGTAAAGAAAAAAAACTATTAACACCAATATTTTTTAATTTAGGTATTTATTTTGTTAGTGTGTAAATCAAAATATCTCTCAAAATCAAATTAAAAATTAAAAAATTAAAAATCACTTTTGTATAAGAACATAAAACATTATAAAACCAACTTAAAAAGATTTAGTAGGATGTATTACCTCCTCTAGGGCAGAACATATTCCTCAAAAATCTCAGCTCGTGTAATTAAGCCTTTAACCACTTGTTGAAAAATTTCATCTCAAATCTCATCTAATGTAACTTTCAACTCAGTTAAGGTTGTAGGAGGATTAATTCTGAAGTTGAAGTGCTGAGAGCTTATCTCCGGCAGGTAAAAACTGATCTACACTTACAAAATAATGTAAATTCATGTTAATTTGTGTTCAGAATTTTTTTTAATAATAAATGAGAAAAAATGCACAACCCAGAGCAATGAAAGTTGCTTGTGGGCATTAATGGGTCAACCACTTCTCGAGAAATTTCATCCCAAATCGTAACTAATGTAACTTTCAGCGTAGTTCAGATTGTAGGCGGGCTATTTTTTAAAGTTCGAGCTCATCTCAAAAGTACTCAATATAGTTCAAATGAGGGATACGGGCTGGCCTTCTTAGAGTGAAAATATTGTCATCTCAACGGAATTGCGTAACACTGGTGGCAACAGTTGGTCTTGCATTATTTTGCATAAACAAAAATTGCTTGCCAATAAAAGGAGCAAATGGCAGCATATATTCCTCAAGAATTTCTGTCATGTAGATTTCTGCATTAAGTGACGGTCTATTAAAAATATATAACAACATTTTTGCCTCGAAAGTTCCACACTATAACTGAACCACTTCTGAAGTCTGAAACTTCCTCTTCCGGCAATGTCGCATTAGCTATAGACCTACAGCTGGTCGATAAACCCCAAGATGTCCATCTGGTGATTGGAAAGAAATCTGGGACCATGTAAAAATATAACATTCCTTCATTACAGCATTTGTCCAATGTCAGTGCCTCTTGCAAACTCTTAGCGGGCCCGTTGATGGTCTCTGGTTAGTGCTGAACCCATGCCTTCTGGGATGTAGACTCACTTCTGCAAGTCTCTTTCTTACTGTTTCAGTGCTAATGGATACATCCTGCACAGTTCAAAGTATCTGAGATGTTTCAGAAACAGTGGAAAAACGATGTCTGAAACAGTGTGAAATCTGATAAATTGATCGTCAGCTCATCCCCTGGCTTTTGGGCATCCCGATCTTGGTCTCTGAGTACATCTTGCAATCTCCTGTTACTGCTGAATGTCCAATAACCTTGTTTTAGGCAAATCTAAAATTCTTGGAGTGTGATGCTGATGTCTTCCATCCTCAACGAGCGCATTGAACGCTCACTGAATTTGAGTGTTTTTGAAATTGTTTTGTTCTGGGCCACCAACACAATAGTGAATAAAGGCATTTTTAAAGGATTAAATGCCCTTGTTGATAGAAATTTTAAGTCAAATTATAAATTAAACGGTTTTGGCTCACATCAGCAACAAAAACAATACTTTCCACTCATTCTAACCATTAAATCATTTTTAAAGTAGTAAAAAAATATGGCCAAAACATTGTCAAATAAAAAATAAATCAAAATTTAAAAGTGTACCACTTTTTTGTGAAGCAGCGTATAAATTCTAAGTGGAACATTTTTTTTTTTTTGTAATTTTATCATTGAAAAAGTCTATTTCTATAGACTAGCTTGACTTTGAACTCTATTGATTAGATATAGTGTACTGATCCTACAAAAGGCAACACTGAAAGTTTGAGGATTTCTGGTGTTATGTTGAAGTTAGTTAATTGGAGGAGTTCTAGGGAGTTTATCTGATTATTTATGATTTATAGAGAAATGTAATATCATTTTTTAATGCCTGGTACGAGTATCTATATTTAACATAATTAGAATTTTGCAATAATTTACTGCAAAATTCAGGAATTAAACCCAATGTACTTACCTGACAAACCTAGTCTGAACACATTCATAAAATGTCCAAACTATAGAAGAGAATTCAAGGATGGGTCATTTTTTTGGGTCCGCCTAATCTCGCCATCTCTGCAACGATAAGAATTTGGCTAGATAAAAACGAAGAAGTGTGAGTGAGACTAGCAACCTCGGTCGATATGCTGACATAAAATCTACCAACCCAAATTTCAAAGTCGGGCTTTAAATCCATTAGTATTTACTGTTCTAATTTTAAATGTTAGATTTTTAATTTCATCTGGGGTGCAATTAAAAATGTAGAAATTACTAGAATATTTAATGTAACTAAAATAAACTGTTAATAATGAGTAAAATTATAACATAATTTTAATTAGGTTTTTTATCGTGTGTGTTTCGTCAGGCCTGAGTAGTTTTTGGTTTTAAATTCGAAAGTGATTACTTTCCAGAAGATATTTTATGTTACATTTCTGAATAAGTAAAAGACGTATATGACATGTATATCAATTTTACTGTGTGAATATGCTGAAAATCTTTATAAAAACAAATTATAAATCCTAGAAGTTTTAGCGTTTTAGCAGCTAAACTGAAAATGTAGTTTTCAAACACTAGGTGTTTGTCAAATAAGATGCCCTTTATCATTTTATGTAGTGTGGTTGAGAAGAAAAATAAGTGTCATGAGACTGAACCCATCACCTACCGGCTCATGTTCCATGCCAATTAGTGTTAACACAACCGTATATATTTTTCATTATTTGCCAAACTGTAATTTTTACCTCATTAAAAAAATATAATATATATAATATAAGTTTGTCCATATTTTAAGTACTTTGAACTGTTAAAATTACCTGATCTGCGATCTGTTAAATATCTTCCTTGATCCTCTTATGATAATCAAGTATTGCACACCATATTTCTCTTACTTTATCTTACTATACACACTTTTTATTGTTTATTACTCCTATTTCTTTTTTATCTCAGGCACACTCTGAAACGCCTCTTGTTGATTAATTAATAACTCAGATTTCACAAAATTAATTTTCAAAGTTAACTTCA